TGAGCCCCTCCCCATCGCCAGGATCCGGGGCTGACTGCAGCCAGCCGGGGACCTGGGGCCGTCCCGTGGCCAGGTGGGGGGCAGGGCCGGGACCTGGGGCCGTCCCGTGGCCAGGTGGGGGGCAGGGCCGCGTACGAGTCCCTGGAGGTGGGTCTGTGCTGTGAGTGTGAAGCCATGGCGGGGGGGGGCGTGCACCAGGCCCTGTCTTGTTGCCAGGCGGTGCCGGCGGACTTGCTCACCTGAGCTTGGCCTGCGTGCCTGTGTCCCGGGCCCCAGGGCCCCGCGGGCGGTGCTGGGAGATCTGGGGGTGAGCAGCTTCATCCCTTCCTGGAGGAGGGCGGAGCCGGCCGGCTTCCTTCCCCTGCCCTGGTCTCAGCGCTGACTCAGCTGTCCTCCCAGAGGTGGGGAGGTGGGCGGAGCCTCGAGGAGCAGGTGCCTGGATCACGTCCTGGCCCACAGGTTACAGGGGAGAGCCTTCTTCTTTTTTTTTTTTTTTTTTTTTTTAAGATCATGTATGTATTTGAAAGCTAGAGTTACACAGAGAGGAGAGAGAGAGGGAGGTCTTCCACCCGCTGGTTCACTCCCCAGACGGCCGCAACGGCCAGAGCTGTGCCGATCCGAAGCCGGGAGCCAGGAGCTTTCTCCGGGTCTCCCACGCGGGTGCAGGAGCCCAAGGACTTGGGCATCTTCCTCTGCTTTCCCAGGCCACAGCAGAGAGCTGGATCGGAAGTGGAGCAGCCGGGATTCGAACCGGCGCCCACATGGGATGCCAGCGCCTCAGGCCAGGGTGTTAACCCGCTGTGCCTCAGCGGCAGCCCCAGGAAAATTCTTTATTTTATTTTTTTTTTTTGACAGGCAGAGTGGACAGTGAGAGAGAGAGAGACAGAGAGAAAGGTCTTCCTTTGCCATTGGTTCACCCTCCAATGGCCGCCGCGGCCGGCGCGCTGCGGCCGGCGCACCGCGCTGATCCGATGGCAGGAGCCAGGAGCCAGGTGCTTTTCCTGGTCTCCCATGGGGTGCAGGGCCCAAGCACCTGGGCCATCCTCCACTGCACTCCTGGGCCACAGCAGAGAGCTGGCCTGGAAGAGGGGCAACCGGGACAGAATCCGGCGCCCCGACCGGGACTAGAACCCGGTGTGCCGGCGCCGCAAGGCGGAGGATTAGCCTAGTGAGCCGGGGCGCCGGCCCTTTATTTTATTTTTTAAAGATTTATTTTATTTATTCGTAAGGCAGAGTTACAGAAAGAGGAGGTGCACAGAGAAGTCTTCCATCTGCTGGTTCACTCCCCAAATGGCTGCAATGGCCGGGGCTGACCCAGCCCCAAGCCGGGAGCCAGGCGCTGCCTCCTGGTCTCCCAGTGGGTGCAGGGGCCCAAGGACTTGGGCTGTCTTCCACGAACCGGCGCCCATATGGGATGCAGGCACTGGAAGCCTTGGCTTTACCCACTCGCCGTGGCCTGGCCCTCTAGGGGGTTTCTCTGACGCCCCCTTGAGAGTGACAGATCCCGTAGGGTCTGCTCGGCCACACGCTCAGTCCCCGTCACTGGCGGGCTGGAGCGCGGCTGCGCAGTGGCTGTGTGGCTTTGGTGCGCGCGTCGGGAGGCCGCTCTGTTCCCGGCTGCACAGCAGAGCCGCGGCTCAGGCTGGTGCCCGCGCGGTGGCGTCCACCTGGGCTGGCACAGCTGACCCTGGTCCGGTGCCAGTTAGCGAGCAGCCCCCCCCCCCACGCAGGGCGGCTCAGGCATCTGTGGAGGTCAAACGTCGCCGCGGGCGTCCTGGGCAAAGCCTGGCGGAGCCGTGGTCCTGTGGGCGGCCGCCGTGGCGGGCTCGGTAAACAGCTGGAGGATGTGACAGGCGTCCGGGCCTTCGGTCTCGGCCGTTGCTTGTTCCTCCTCCTGGGGCCCTGGGGCCACTTCCTGTCTGCCCAGAGAGCTGTGTGAGCAAAGCCAGTGGGGACCGGAGCCCTGGAGCCAGCCGAGTCCTGGCTGGGGTCACAGGTCAAGGGGGCCTGGCTGACCGTCATGTTTTCTGCGGTGGCTTCCATGGTCTCCCTGGGGCCCGGGCATCTCCAGCAGCCGGGGTCTCGGGCCGCCCACGGTGTCTTCCCGATGGCCTCCAGGACTGGCCTGTGAGGCCAGAGGTGCAGTGGTGTCTGTCCAAGGCCTAAGCCTCCTGCGGCCGGAGCTGCTTCTCACCTCGGCACATGGCAGGGCCATCGGAAGGAGCGGCCGTGGCGGGCCTGGGGCAGGGCAGTGGGCGCGTCCCTGAGAGCGGGCGCCAGGGCTGGCAGCTCCCTCTCTGGACCAGGCCATGAGGCCGGCGGGCCCGCAGGGGCTCCGCTGTCCACGGCAGGCATGGCGGGCAGTGGGCAGTCAGGAGAGGGTCGGCGGGACCTGGGAGCTCGCGTGTGGACCTGTTCTTGCAGACAGCTGTAACACTGCTAGGACGGCTGGGTCCCCTCCCCACCTCGCCTGTCCCCCCTCCCCACCTCGCCTGTCCCCCCTCCCCACCTCGCCTGTCCCCATCCCGCATCCGGCAGGTGCGCGGGCGCGGTTGGGAAAAGGCTTTGGCGGAGCGGCACGGCCACTCAGACCCTGTGGGAGGAAGGGCACTGACAGCCCCAATGGTGGCTGCGTCCAGTGGGCCTCGTCTGGCCTGTCTCCCCCCGGGTCCCTCGGGGGCCACAGCGGGGCAGCCAAGGTCACAGCCCTGACTCCTTGCGTTAGTCTCCTGAGGTGTATGAGAGACAGGAGGGACAGTGAGATCTGCCCTCCCGCCCCCTCTGCGAGCGCCCTGCGCCCAGGGCCAGAGCCAGGCCAGACTGGCGGGGGTGGCAGTGGCGCCACCTGCTGGCCCTGAGGGGCACAGGCAGGACTGGACCCAGGCACTGTGCTGTCCCTGTCTCGTCCAGTTTGACGAGGGACGGAACAACTTCGAGGGGGAGGTCACCAAGGAGAAGCTGCTGGACTTCATCAAGCACAACCAGCTGCCGCTGGTCATCGAGTTCACCGAGCAGGTGCGGGGCTCGCCGCGGCGGGCGGGGTGCGGGAGGCCCCGCCGCGCTCCGGCTCAGCCCCGGCCTGCGTGTGTGTGTGACAGACGGCCCCGAAAATCTTCGGAGGTGAGATCAAGACACACATCCTGCTGTTCCTGCCCAGGAGCGCGGCCGACCACGACGGCAAGCTGAGCGGCTTCAAGCAGGCGGCCGAGGGCTTCAAGGGCAAGGTGGGCGGCGCCCCGCGGCGGGGGGCGAGCCGTCCCGTCCCGTCCCGCCCCGCCCCGCCCCGCCGCATGGTCTGGCGCCTCCTCTGCTCCCCAGATCCTGTTCATCTTCATCGACAGCGACCACGCCGACAACCAGCGCATCCTCGAGTTCTTCGGGCTGAAGAAGGAGGAGTGCCCGGCCGTGCGGCTCATCACGCTGGAGGAGGAGATGACCAAGTACAAGCCCGAGTCGGACGAGCTCACGGCCGAGGGCATCACCGAGTTCTGCCAGCGCTTCCTGGAGGGCAAGATCAAGGTGTGGGCGGGCTCGGCGGCCCCCGGCTGGCCTCGGCCCGCGCTGGCCGGCTGGCCCTGACCGTGCGCTCTCTGCCCAGCCGCACCTGATGAGCCAGGAGCTCCCCGAGGACTGGGACCGGCAGCCGGTCAAGGTGCTGGTGGGGAAGAACTTCGAGGAGGTGGCCTTTGACGAGAAGAAGAACGTCTTCGTGGAGTTCTGTGAGTCCGGCCCCGCCCCCACCGGCCCTCAGAGCGCTTCCCGCCCCTGGCCCCGCCCCCGGGCCCCGCCCCCACCGGCCCTCAGAGCGCTTCCCTCCCAGTCGGCCCCGCCCCCGGCCCCGCCCACACCAGCCCTCAGAGCGCTTCCCTCGCAGACGCGCCCTGGTGCGGCCACTGCAAGCAGCTGGCTCCCATCTGGGACAAGCTGGGCGAGACGTACAAGGAGCACCAGGACATCGTCATCGCCAAGATGGACTCCACGGCCAACGAGGTGGAGGCGGTGAAAGTGCACAGCTTCCCCACGCTCAAGTTCTTCCCGGCCGGCCCCGGCAGGACGGTGCGGCCCCCGCGGGCGGGCGGGCGGGCGGGCGCGCGCGGGCTCCTCCCCCGGCAGCCGGCTCCACGCGCCGCCCCCTCCTCCCGCAGGTCATCGATTACAACGGAGAGCGGACGCTGGACGGCTTTAAGAAGTTCCTGGAAAGCGGCGGTCAGGACGGAGCAGGGAGACGAGGACGTGAGTGACCGCAGGCCGGCGCGGGCCTCGGCGGCCCCGAGTCCCCGGGGCTGCGGCGGGGTGTCGCTCAGGGTCTTCCCGACGCCCCTCCTGTCCGCCGACCTGCCCGGCGGGGCCTGGAGCTCCCTCCGGGCCGTGGTGGTTGTGCGGGGAAGGAAGTGGTCCGTGGGGGCCACCCAGAGGGGAAGTGGACGTGCATTCAGGGAGGGAGCTGTGGCGCCCCCCGGGGGTGGGCGGGCATGGCGGCAGGAGCTTGTGTCGCCACGTGTCCCGCGGGTCTCTGGTGCCGAGCCCGGGACGCCTCGCCCCTGCCACGGCCAGGCTGGGCTCCTGGGCTGTGGCCGGCCGGGAGTCCACCTCCGTCTCCCTCACCCCAGGGTCTGGAGGACCTAGAAGAGGCCGAGGAGCCGGACCTGGAAGAAGACGACGACCAGAAAGCCGTGAGAGACGAGCTGTGAGGCCGCAGGCCGCGAGCCGCCGGGCAGGCCTGACCACGACGCCCCGGAGCCTGCACGGGCAGCACCGCGACCGGGGCGCCCTCCGGGCAGCCGCGCACCTGACGCCCGCGCGCCAGAGCCGCCGCCTCCTGTGCTTTTCAGTTTCTGGAAAGGAATTTATCTCCAGGCCAGCCCGTCTTGGCGGGCAGTTTTTTAACCGTGATGTACTTTTTTGTACACGTGTGTTGTCCGGAGGCCACACAGATGTCCCGGATCTCACACTGGAGAGGTCGCGGGGTCACGGCGAATACTCCACCCGTGGGATCTGGAGACGTTTTAGGACGTCAGGGCATTGTCGCGCCGCAGCTGGGCCTCCCTGGAGACGCCTGGCCCCGTGCGGGGCGGGTGGAGCCAGCTGGACACAGTCCCTGCCACCTGGGCCGGCGGAGCCAGGACCGGAACGGCCCTTGCCATTTTTTTGGTTAGACGGAGACTGTCGGAGGAGGAGGGGACTGTGGCTGCCAGCTGCGGGGCCCAGGACAGGCCTGGGCAGCCCCCTCCCTCCTCCAGCCAGGGCTCCCGTCGCCGGCGCATTGCTCTGTGGCCGCTGGACTCTCCCATGTGGCCTATGCAAGGCGGAAGCAGGACCCCAATTCCCCCGATTCCCAGGCTGGGACCCAGCCAAGGATGCCAGCGCCCAGCCAGAAGCCGACGGTTCTCCGGGCATCTGCACCACAATCTTGGAATCCAACACATTGGCCAAATAAAGTTGAAATTTTACTACTCGGGGCCGCCTCTGTCGTCTTTGAGTTTTACAGTTGCAGAGTTAGGCAGAAAGAGGGGAAGACAGAGTCCCCCATCCACTGGCTCACTCCCCAGACGGCCCCAACGGCCAGAGCTGCGCCAGGGCGAGGCCAGGAGCCAGGGGCTTCTTCCGGGTCTCCCACACGGGTGCAGGGGCCCAAGGACTTGGGCCACCTTCTACAGCTTTCCCAGGCCACGGCAGAGCTGGATCGGAAGTGGAGCAGCCAGGACTTGAACCGGCGTCCATGTGGGATGCTGGAGTCACAGGCAGAGGTTTAACCTGCTGCACCAGTGTCCCCCCCAGCCCATGGGGTGGGGCTGAAGGGGCCGGCAGAGCAGGGGGAGGTGAGGACGAGCACTCCTCCCAGGCGCGGCTCTCTTTCCAGCCACAGTGGAGGCCTGGGGGACCTCCGGGAGCCACCCACGCTGTGGTGCGCCACTGCCGGACCACGCTCTCGCCACGGCACTGGGGGGGGGGGGGCTGCTGTGCTGTGTCGCCAGACCAGAGCAGCCTGAGGTGACGTCAAGAAGGTGGCTGTCCCCTTGGGGCGCGCTGCCTCCTGGGAGCTCTGGGGACCGCGTGTCCCCCAGAGGGTGGGCGTGGAGGCCAGGGTCAGGCTCTGAGGCTGGAGAGGGCTCCCGGTGGGCAGTGGTGCTCACAGGCCGCCGGAGCTGCTGCCCTTGTCCCGGGGCCTCCGCTCAGCACGCGTGGCAGGGGTGGGGTGGGGTGGGGTTCTCCACGACTGCTCTCACATAGCCCGGGCTGCTCCTGCCGCCCACGAGGGCCCTGCAGGCCACACCGCCGGCCAGCTTCCCCGCGGCTGCCCAGAGGTGGGAGGGTGTTTGCAGCCCCGTGACATGACCTTGGATGAGGTGGGATCCCTGGGTCTGGCCCTGCCATGGTGACCACAGGCAGGACCCAGTCCATCCATAGCAGGTCCCTGCCACACGGACAAGCCTGTGTGGCCCAGGAACGTTACCTCCAAATGGCCCTCACAGAGGGAAGGTCCTCCCCTACTGTCCCGGCTGGGGTGGGCACCAGGGCCTGCCCAGGACACCGGCCGGCCGGAGAACAGGACCCGTCCAGACACAGCTAAAAGGAGCTACAAGGGGTGGAAGTGCGGATGACCCTGCTGACCAGCTGCGCGGGGACCTGGCCCTCCGGACGGCAGGCTGGGACCAGGCACAGCTGCCGTCACGCGCTCGGGGGAGGGCGGTGAGTCACCAGCACCTTGCCCCTTGCAGACACAGCGGCCAAGCATTCGGCCAGGCCTCCTGGCTGGGCTGTGGGCGGCGGCTTCCTAGGCTCGCCCTCTCCTGTCCTCTCTGTGCAGTGGGCATGGAGCCACTGGCCTAGAACCTTACCAAGCAGCTGCCGGCCCGCGTGCCATGCTGGGTCCTCGGGCCTCCCGCAGCGTGTGCCAGCTCTCGCCCTCGCTGTTTGCGCCGGCTTCGGGAAGCTGGGTGGCGCGCGTCTGCACCAGGGGCCGTGACCAGTCCCCCCTCCAGGAATTGAAACTTGGAGTCGAGCTGAGCAAGGCAGGCCACCCGGGAGAATCGGGGACAGAGCTACACACACAGGGTCCCAGGGCGGGCCGAGCCCAGTGGATGCCCACGTCCCTGGGGGAGTGCCTGGTGGGGCCCCAGCCGCTCAGCTTCCGGCCCAGCTCCCTGCCAACGCGCCTGGGGGTCCGCGCATGATGGCTCCAGTACGTGGGTTCCTGCTGCCCACGTGGGAGACCCAGAGGGAGGTCCTGGCTCTGGACCAGCCCTGGACCCACAGGGTGTTCCCCAAGCTGTGTGCAGGCAGCACCAGCCCCACCACCTGCCGCGGGTTGGTCTTCTGGCCAGCTTCCCACGACGGCCCGGCTTGGAACCCAGACCCCGTCACAGCGACCTCGGACCCGGAGGGCTCAGGGGCCTTCCCTGACCCACACAGAAACCTGAGCCCGCTCAGCTCGCCTTGGGCCGCACCTGAGGGACAGGCCAGCTTCTTCCGGATCCTCGGTGGGAGGGGCAGCGTGAGCCGTAAACAAGCCGACTCCCTGGAGCCCGGCCCCTCCCTCCCAGTCCCTGGAAATGTGGACACCAGCGGGGCCTGGCACAGGCCCAGGGCGGCTACAGCGGGCGCCTGGCGGCAGGAATGGCGCTGCGGGGCAGGGCAGGAGCAGGGGAGGCCCTGGGTGCTGAGGCAGGCGACAACGCGGGCAGGCAGGGCCCTGGGTCAGCGCTGTTTCTTGCCGGTGTCGCCAGGCTTGTGGATTCTGCCGGCTGAGACCAGCCTGCCGGGGCCCACCCCCACGCCACAGCGAGGCCGCCGACCCCCGTCGCCTGCCTTCCCAGCCCGGCTCAGGACGGGGCCAGCTGAGGTCCTGCTGCAGTGGGCAGGACCCTTCATGGAAAGGGGATGCAGGCAGAGACCGGGGGCGCTCCCAGCAGCCCCTGGGCAGGCTTGGCAGGACACCCACCTGCTCAGGGGCCAGCCCTGCCCCCTCAGGCCTGGGTCTGAGCTCCCGCCCGCAGCCCGGCGGTGGCTGAGCCGGAAGTGAAGGCAGCCCACTCGGGAGGACTCCCAGGATCCTGCAGGTTGCGGTGCCCGGGGAGGCCGGGGCAGAGGGGCGCCCCCCACACGCGGGTGCCCCTCCCCGTGAGCGCAAGTCGGTTCCATGGGCAGCTGGCCTCGGGCAGGTGAGCCACCTCCCACACCGGCCCTCGCCGCACCACGGCCTTGACCTCGGCCGTCCTCGGCCTCCTCCTGCCCTCTGTCCAGCACCTTCTACGTCCAGCTGTGGGGCAGGGAGCGGTGGCCAGGAAGGATCTGACCCCTTTGGCAGGACACACGACAGGTGGGCCGAAAGACGAGCCGCTAACATGATCCCGAGCCAGGGACGGGGGCAGCTCGGTTTCAGGCCCTCGCGACCGGCAGCGTGACCGCGCGGCTTTATATAGCGCCCGCCGCCCTATATAAGCCGGAAGCGGGGTGCCCGAGGAAAGAGGCGGCTCGCTGCTCCGGCGCGCACCCACTGCCCCCCGCCCCCGGCATGCCCAGCAGGACGGCGCGCTACGCCCGCTACAGCCCCCGGCAGAGGCGCCGCCGGCTGCTGGCCGACCGCAGCGTGCGCTTCCCCAACGATGTCCTCTTCTTGGACCACATCCGCCAGGGCGACCTGGAGCAGGTGGGGCGCTTCCTCCGCGCCCGCAAGGTCTCGCTGGACACCATCCACCCGTCCGGTGAGCGCGCACCTGCCGGCCGCGGAGGGAGGGGAGCCCGCGGGCTCGGCCCTGGCCCTGGCCCTGACCGCCGGCCCTCGCCCTGCCCAGGCCTGGCCGCGCTGCACGAGGCCGTGCTCTGCGGGAACCTGGAGTGCGTGAAGCTGCTGGTCAAGTACGGCGCGGACATCCACCAGCGCGACGAGGCGGGCTGGACGCCGCTGCACATGGCCTGCAGCGACGGGTACCCCGAGATCGCCAGGTGAGGGGCGGCCGCGGGGAGCGCAGGGGCCCCGCGGCCTTCGGGGTGTCCGCGGCTCCCGACGGGTCGGGTTTCGGCGGAGCAGCGCCAGAGGGCGACGCCGGGGGCGAGCGGGCAGTGTCCGCGTGCGCGTGTCCGCGTGCACACGGCGCCCTCTGCCCCCAGGTACCTCATCTCCCTGGGGGCCGACCGCGACGCCGCCAACGACGACGGCGACCTGCCCTCCGACCTCATCGACCCGGACTTCAAGGACCTGGTGGAGCTCTTCCGAGAGACCAAGATGGACTGAGCCCGCCCCCGCCTCCAGGTGGATTTTTTATGGTGACACTTTGTACTTTTTCAATAAACGCGACTCCCGAGCCCGCAGCCTGGCCTCGTGACTGGGGGCCGGCCCGCGGGGGGTCGCCGTCCCCGCCGCGCGCGGTCACGTGGCCCCGCGCCGCGCATGCGCCGCCGGCCGTGGCGTCACTTCCGGCGGGGCCCCCCAGCTGGAAGAGGCGGCGGCGGCCGAGTCCGGGCGAGGTGAGGCGGGCGCGGCGCCGGGCGGCGGGGCGGGGCGGGCGAGTGGGCCCCGCGTCCGGCCCCGCCCCGCGCCCGGCCCCGCCCTGGGGTCGCCGCCGGGGCCGGGCGCGGCCGCCGCGAGGGGGAGTGACCGGGAGGCCGGGCCGGGTCGCGCCGTGCGGGCCGCGAGGGGCCCCCGGCGTGCAGGCGCGGACGTGGCGCCCGGCCCGGGGGCGGCCGGAGGGGTGCGGGCTGACCTGGCCGTGCCCTCGCGACCCCCTCCGCGCCGAGGCCCCGCCTGCCCCCACGCGACCGCGGCGTGGATGGCGGCGCTGCGGGGCCCCGGCCCGGCCCGGAAGCCGCCCGGCGTGGCTGCCCGTCAGAGGCGGCCCCGTCAGCCTTGCTCCCGGACCCCCGGCCATGAGTCGGGGGGTTTGGGCAGCGCAGGCGGGGACCGGGCCGGACCTGGAGTAGCCGCCCGCGTGCGGCCCCTGCTGTTTGGCCTCCAGGACAGCAGCGTCCTGGGGCACCCGGGTCAGCAGCTCGCGTCCAGGGTCTTGCTGGCCGAGGAGGGGCCAGAGCACGCAGGGGAAGTGGAGTCTAAGCAGGAGCCGCACAGGCGCCGGAGGGCCGGGCGCGGCCGGGGCTGTGTGCAGGGGCAGGGCCTCCGCAGGCGCCTTCTGCCCGGTCCTGGCCCGGCCCGGCCGCGGCAGTGCCCGACTGCTGGGAGGGGCAGGGGCGCGGGGTCCGCCCCCGGGTGCCAGCTGCCTCGCCCGCAGCGGGGGAGGGGTCTTCCTGGGCCCCGCGGGCGGAGCCTTCCTCGCTTCCCCCCCCCCCCCCCCCCCGTCTGGCTGTGCAGGAGGAGCCCCCAGACTCCGGTGAGGTCGGGCCTCCTGTGTCCCCAGGGGCTTCTTCTCCTTGGATGGGGGTGCCGCACCCTAGGGATTCACAGGAGGAGGCGGGGCAGGGGCGCTGACCGCCGGCCACCGGGAGCTGTGGCCTGTGCGCCGGTGGTGGACAACAGCAGCCGTGGACCCCAGGGCTCTGTGCTGGGACCGAGGTGGGGGCGAGGCCGCAGGCCCAGAGGCGAGACGTCCCTGGGCCCAGGCCCCGATTCCGGCTCCCACTCGCATGCACCCTTGGAGGCCGCACTGCTGGCTCCGGGGACGCCTGGCCTCGGCCTGGCCGCCATGGGTGCGCAGGGAGTGACCAGCAGGTGGGCGCTCTCGCTGTCTGCCTCTCAGAAACCAAAACCTACGGGTGGGCCGGGGGCTTGGTGGCCGGAGGGCAGGAAGGGCGGGCGGCCAGGGTCCCCGGGAGGGTGTGAAGCAGGGGAGGGGCCGCTGCCCGAGGCGCCTCATCTCGCGCTGCACCCGGTCCAAGGGAGAGAACGCGCCCGGTTCAGAACCTCAGGCGCCGAGCTCCCCGCATCTGGCCGGTGTGGGCGGTGGCCCGGGGCGGTCACTGGCCGGACACGCTCTGTGCCCCCACTCACCGCCACCCAGGCTGCAGAGCGGCGGGCCAGCGTCCTGCCCACCCAGGGTTCCCTTCTCCCCAGCCACGCCTCAGGCCCCACACCCTCCGTGCCGGCCTCTGTAGGGACCCTGGCCTGGGGGACACTGAGGGCAGGACGTGGCTGGGAGCCAGGCAGCCAGAGGAGCTGGGGCTGGGTGGAGGGAGAGGCAGGCAGGCAGGGCGGGCGGGAGGCCCAGGAGGTGGGCGCCGGCCAGGCCCGCCCCGAGCACTGCCCTCCTGGTCACCTCCATCCGCTGTGCACCCCCGGGCAGCGGGCGGGAAGCAGAGTTCACCTGGTGAGCCAGCCGGGTGCTGCCACGGGCGCCGCCCCTTCCTGCCTGTGTGTGTGTGTGACAGCTGAGTGGGCCGTGGTGGGAGCCCCCTCCTTCAGCTGCAATGGGGCACCAGGTGGCCAGCGTGAGCCCAAAGCTGCTGACCTCACGAGGCGGCAAAGATGCCGGGGCCCAGAGCCCCCCCCCCCAGGAGACCCCCAGGAGCCCCCAGCACCCTGGTCTGAGTCCACTTTCAGGACACTCCGGGCTCGGGCCCCGCCGCAGGGGCCCTCACCCTCAGGAGGCCGCAGGCGCGGTGTGCCTGGGCTGAGCCAGGTCCACCGGGACCTCGGAGGGGGCCCTGAACCTCAGGGGCAGCTGGCAGGGTGCCCTGGGGCCACACGGCCTGGTCGCAGCTCCGCGGGAGGAGGCAGGTGTGCCCGTGCCCTCCCCACTGCTGCCCAGGGCCGTGCCCGCCCCATTCCCGGCTCTGGGGCTCCTGTTTCAGAGGCCGAGGGATCTGGCAGCGGAAGGCCAGGACCAGACGCCCCGCGATGAGCAGGTGGGTCGTGGGCAGCCGGGGCAGGGTGGCCCCCGCCCTGCCCGGCGCCCGGCCCGGCCCTCACGCGCCGGGGCCCCCCAGTTCCCCTGTCTCCAGAGTCGTGTACAACGGCAGGAGGAACAGCAGCCCCCGCTCGCCCTCCAACAGCAGCGAGATCTTCACCCCCGCCCACGAGGAGAATGTGCGCTTCATCTACGAGGGTGGGTGCGCTGCCCCCACCCGCCTGGGAGCCCCGTGCTGGGCGGGGGCGGGGAGGCGGCGGGATCCGGGCGGCCACGGCCGCCCTGACGGTGCTCGCTCGGCTGCAGCCTGGCAGGGCGTGGAGAGAGACCTGCGGAGCCGGCTGGCAGGCAGCGAGCGGGGCCTGGTGGAGGAGTACGTGGAGAAGGTCCCCAACCCCAGCCTGAAGGGTGAGTGGCGCCGGCCGCGGGGGCAGCCCGCCGCTCCGCTGCTGCCCGCATCCCGGGAGGGCGCCCCGGGGGCTGTGCCTGCCACTGACCGCTCCGTCCCCGGCAGGCTTCAAGCCCATCGACCTGAGTGACCTGAAGCGCCGCAGCACGCCGGACACCAAGAAGTCCTAAGGCCGGGGCACGGGGTGTGCCTGCCGTCGCCCTGCCACTGGGGGCCCTGGGGTTGACCGCCAAGCCCGCCCCAGCCCCGAGCCCCTCTCTTCCTCTGGGGGGGGTTGCAGGCTGCCCTGTCGCTGTGGGGGTCAGGCCCCGCCAGCCCTGCCTCCCCCGCCCCAGCCCCTCTTCCCATCACCTGCTGTAGCCCCAGCTCCCTGGCCCTGGCCACCGCAGGATCTGGAGAGGGGAGAGGGCCTTTGTTCCCCAGGTGGGACTTGTCCTGGAGGTGGCCAGGAAGGAGAACAAGGGCCGCCCCCGGACCCCAGCCCCCCTCTGGCCTGGACGCCGCCCAGCCCCCTCCTTGCCTCGGCTCCAGGATGACCCTGGCCCGGCACCTGGGACACTGCTGGATTCCCCAGCAACGAGGCCTGGCCCCCAGTGTCTGGGCACAGTCGCCCCCCTGGGCAGGGGGCCGAGGCTGACCGAGGCGGTGCTGCCGCTGTCCCGGCTCTCTGGCACGTGCTGGGTCACCCGGCCCCTTCCCCCTGTGCCCCCGGAAGTCGGACATCTGTGGCCCTGGAGGTTGAGGACCCTTGAATAAAAGCAGGTGGCACAGGGTCGGCCCCCTGGTGGTCTGTCAACGCCCAGCGGGGCTGCAAAGCCTGGTCCCGGCGTGGGCCTCTGGGAGACGGAGAGGCTGGGGCTGCCCAAGGAGGTGTGGAGGCAGTGGGCGCCCCCGCTGTGTGCACAGGGGTCTGGCTGCTGGGCGGAGACCTGACGCACTTGACCTTCAAATGTGGAAGCAGCTGGGCCGCCCAGACCTACATGCTGTCGCGCCTTGAACAGAAGCCCAGGTGGAGTTCATTCCTGGAGCACCCTTTCCCGGAACATTCCGGGGGGGCTGGGCAGGAGCAGCAGGAAGGACCTGGCCGGAGGGGGGGGCAGGGACGCACGGTGCCCACCCAAGCGCTTTGCCTGTGCTGCTGGCCAGGCTCGGCAGCGTGCTCCCCAGAGACCACCCTGGTGGGGGGCTTCTCCGCGACGCCGCCGGCCCCGGTGCTGAGCCCGCTGCGCTCGGCACCTGTGGGTGCACTTGACGAGATTGTTATTAACACGCCCGCCTGGTGCTGCGGCTGCTGGCAAGAGGGGTGCTGGCCGGGAGCCCACTGGGTCTCCCCTGCACAGGATGGGCGGTGCTTGCCCTGAAGTCCCGCCCTTTCAGGGGTGCTGGGACCCCTGGCCTTTGGGGGTACCTGAGGGAAGTTGGCTGTGTTGAGACAGGCGTGACTGGCTCCAAGCCTCCTGCCATTCTTAGCCTGCAACCTGGGCCCTCTGCGGGGCCTGAACACCACCACGCCCCCTGGTGTGGCTGAGCGGGAGGGGCAAGGCTGGGGTCCCCGTGGGAATGGGCCGGCTCTGATGGCTCCGGCTCCCCTTGCTGTCAGCCTCGGCCAGAGCCAGTGGGGCGCTGCCCACTTCCTGTGCAGACACCACCCCAGCATCTGCATCCCAGAGGGGCGTGCAGCGTGGGTGAGAGGAAGGGGCCCCCAGATCGGGGGACTGGGCTGTGGTGCTGGGGCCCCCCGCTTCAGTGAGGGCTGCTGGGAGAGGTGGTGCACTGGGCAGCTGGGCTGTCCACAGGCCCAGTCCACGTGCCCTGCCTCCCGTGGGCCTCCTACCTCCCCGTGAGCACCCCCTTCCCGTGGGGCCCCGTCTCCCTGTGACCCCTCTGTGTCCCCGTGAGTCCTCCGTCTCCCCATGAGTCCCTGTCTCCCCACGGGTCCCCCTCCCCGTGAATCCCCCCTGCCTCCCCATGAGCCCCCACCTCCCCGTGGGCCTGTCTTCACCTTCACAGCTGAGGGCGAGGTTTGTGCCCCCCCCCGCCCCAAGAGGAAGCAGCGGCTCCTCCGAGGGCTCCCTGGCTGTGAGGCCGAGCGCTGCCATCCACTGGTCCCCTCCCCACCACCTTGGCGGCTGGGAGCGCCGCCCTGTGTCGCAGGTGCACGGCGGGAACCCCGCTGTCCGAGCTGTCACCACTGCCTCTGGAGGTTTCGCTGGCAGGGAGCTGGAGTTGGGGGCTCCGGGGCCCAGGGGGTGACGGAGGCATCTTGACGGCTAGGCTCGCTGCCTGCCCCGTCTGTTGGTTAAGGGTTTATTTTACTTATTTGGAAGGCAGAGTTACAGAGAGAGAGGAGGGACGGAGATCTTCATCCGCTGGTTCGCTCCGTCTGGGCCAGGCTGAAGCCAGGAGCCCAGAGCGTCCTCGGCGTCTCCCACGTGGGTTGGGGGCCCAAGCACCTGGCCCCTCCTCCACTGCTTTCCCAGGCCATTAGCAGGGCCTGGATGGGAAGCGGAGCAGCCGGGACTGTAACCAGTGCCCATGTGGGATGCCAGTGCCGCAGGCCGCACCTTAACCCACTGAGCCACAGCGCCGGCCCGTTTTCGTCCCTGAGGGCTCTCCTGAGTTTGGCGTCCCCAGCCACCCTCACCCTCACCTGAGATGTGACCCTCGGTTGCTGTGACCCAGATCCAAAGTGCCACACACAAAAACCAGCCCTGTGGCAGCCCTGCACACTGCCCCCACGGCACTCTGGGAGTGCATTCCCTTCCTCCACGGGCACACCTGGTCACACGTCCCCCGACATCACACACACACGGGCACACCTGGTCACACGTCCCCCGGCATCACGCACACGGGCACACCTGGTCACACGTCCCCCGGCATCACACACACGGGCACACCTGGTCACACGTCCCCCGGCATCACACACACATGGGCACACCTGGTCACACGTCCCCCGGCATCACACACACGGGCACACCTGGTCACACGTCCCCCGGCATCACACACACGGGCACACCTGGTCACACGTCACCCGGCATCACACACATGGGCACACCTGGTCACACGTCCCCCGACATCACGCACACACGGGCACACCTGGTCACACGTCCCCCGACATCACGCACACGGGCACACCTGGTCACACGTCCCCCAGCATCACGCACACACGGGCACACCTGGTCACATGTCCCCCGGCATCACGCACCCCCGCATCACGCACACGGGCACACCTGGTCACACGTCCCCCGGCATCACGCACACGGGCACACCCTGGTCACACGTCCCCCGGCATCACGCACACACGGGCACACCTGGTCACACGTCCCCCGGCATCACGCACACACGGGCACACCTGGTCACACGTCCCCCGGCATCACGCACACGGGCACACCTGGTCACACGTCCCCCGGCATCACGCACACGGGCACACCTGGGTCACACGTCCCCCGGCATCACGCACACGGGCACACCTGGTCACACGTCCCCCGGCATCACGCACAACGGGCACACCTGGTCACACGTCCCCCGGCATCACGCACACGGGCACACTGGTCACACGTCCCCCGGCATCACGCACACGGGCACACCTGGTCACACGTCCCCCGGCATCACGCACACGGGCACACCTGGTCACACGTCCCCCGGCATCACGCACACGGGCACACCTGGTCACACGTCCCACCGGCATCACGCACACGGGCACACCTGGTCACACTCCCCCGGCATCACGCACAACGGGCCACCTGGTCCACACGTCCCCCGGCATCACGCACACGGGCACACCTGTCACACGTCCCCCGGCATCACGCACACACGGGCACACCTGGTCACACGTCCCCCTCCACACACACACCGGGCACACCTGGTCACACGTCACCGCATCACGCACACGGGCACACCTGGTCACACGTTCCCCCGACATCACGCACACGGGCACACCTGGTCACACGTCCCCCGGCATCACGCACACACGGGCACACCTGGTCACACTCCCGCATCACACCACACGGCACACCTGGTCACACGTCACCCGGCTCACGCACACGGCACACCTGGTCACACGTCCCCCGGCATCACGCACACGGGCACACCTGGTCACACGTCCCCCGGCATCACGCACACGGGCACACCTGGTCACACGTCCCCCGACATCACACACACACGGGCACACCTGGCCACATGCTCCCACGCATGTGCACACACGCCCACAGGAACACCCCCCACTGGTTCCCTTGGGAGAAGGGGCTGAGGCAGAGGTGGGAGAGGAGGGGGCAGGGGCAGGGCTGAGGCCCCTGGGCTGAGAAGTGGGTTTGTCCTCCCCCTGCAGGGCGGCCTGGCCACACTTCCTGTGGGCTGGGCAGGTCCTGTCCCGCCAGGCTCCCGGCTCTGCCGGATCCCACCAGCCTACCTGGTTCCCTTGGGGCCAAGGGCCGGTAGGCGGGGAGGGCCCACGGGTGACTGCAGGTAAGTGGTGAGCCCAAGGCCGTCACGGACCCCGGCTCCGCTGGCAGGAAGGAGGCGCTATGCCGAGGACGGTGAGGGCCTGGGACACCCGGCTGGACTCTGGGCCTGCAGCCCCCTCCCCCCGCCCGGGCCTGTGGGGGCAGCAGGGTGAGGCCCCCAGCAGGGCCCGGGCTGAGGGTTCTGTTTACCGTTCCTGAGAGGCCTCCTGCCCTCTCATTTGCTCCAATTAGCCCAGCTCTGCCTGAGCCGCCAGCCCACGTGGGCGCCCCTCCCCCAGGCCCAGGCTGCGCCACCTGGCCAGCCCCCCCCACACACACCCCAGGCACCGCCGAGCCCAGGAATGCACAGTCCCCATCAGCTACACCGGGCCCCAGGCCCCAGGCGGCAACTCAGGCTCCCTGTGCCCGCGGTGGTCGGGGCCCCCTGCTCGGAGCCGGGAGCTGGGCAGGGCTGGGCAGGGCTGGGCCACCGCAGCGCGGCTGGGGGCCCGTTTCTCCCCGCGACATCTGCTGCGTGGCCTGACAATTGCCTGGTGGCCAGTGCTGCGACGGAGCAGAGGCCGGGGCCTTCCTGCGGCTTCCAGGAGGTGGGGGTCCTACGTTGCCTCTCCAGCCACTGTGGGGACCTGGCAGGCAGGGTGGGAGACAGCTGCAACCTGCTCAGGGGGCTGGGCCCTGCTGGCCACCCTCAGGATGCCACACCTGTCGGTGAAGCGGGCGCCCTCCCGCACAGGCCCGCCCGCTGCCTCCTGGTCACCGCGCACCATTGCTGGACTGGGGCCAGCTCGCAGCCCAGGCCTTTATTGTGGCCGCACCCAGGATGCGGGCACGGCCGGCACAGCCCCTGCCACCAGGACCCTGCTCCGAGGCCACCCCGGGGCGGACGAGGACAGCGGGGACTGCTGGCCGGCAGCCAGGGCTGGGCGGTCAGTCCCGTCCAGCAACGCCCTCTCCTGGTGCCCTGGCGAGGACTCAGAAGGGGCTCTTGGCCAGCCCAGGGAGGTCACCGGCCAAGAGGGCTTCCGAGGAGGGGTCCCGGCCGGCCCCGGGGCTGCCCCCATCCTGCGCCGGCCGCAGCTTCTCGGGCGGGGCGGAGGGCACGTGGACGCTGACCGACCGCTCCTCCCGCAGAGCTTTGCCGATGCGCCAGCGGCGCCAGCGCCGGAGCAGCTCCGACTGCACCTGCGGCACAGAGGGGGCGGGCCGTCCAGGGCCTGCTGTGGGCCTGCCCGAGGTGCCCCAGACACCCGGGATCCGCCTGCAGTGGGCAGGTTCCCGGGGAGGGGCCCCGGCCCCCACCTACCTCCTTGTTGAGGAAGCAGTAGAGGACAGCCACCAGCAGGCCCTGCGGGGACACGGAGTCAGGGACAGCGCCCGGGCCTGCAGGTGTGCGGGGGGGGGGGGGGGCGTGTGCAGGGGGGTGGCGGGGCACCTGGAAGGAGCTGAGAAAGAGGTCGAAGAAGAGCTTGGTGGCACGCAGGGCGCCCTGGGCCTGCTCGTCCGTCACGAAGGCGAAGACCACTTCATGGACGCCCAGCAGAGGGATGAGGGTCAGTGTGGACTTGGCCAGCCTGCGGGGGCAGAGGCTGAGCCACCCTGGGACCCTGGGACGCAGGCCCCGCCGAGCCCCAGCCCCTCCCGGCCCCCACCCACACCCACCGGAACTTGTAGTCGGTGCGGTGCATCTGGTGGGCTCTCAGCTTGGCCACGAGGAGGTGGACGACGCGGACGAAGATGAAGAAGTTGATCTGCGGGGGGAGGGCCGCATCGGGGGAGGGTCACCCCGCCAGGACAGGCACCTGGCCCTCGGGTGCCGTCTCCCGGGGGCCGCCCACCGGGCCTGCTCTGCTCACCAGGATGGCCAGGAAGACGGGGGCACGGAGGATCCACCAGAAGCCCATGTTGTCATTGCTGGTCCAGCACCTGCGGGGGGGCCGCTCAGCACCCCAGCCCCCGCCCCAGGCCCGCCCTCCCCCGGCCTCTGCCCTGTCCAGCGGCCAGGACAGCCCTGCCCTACTCACTGGACGTTCTCGAACAGGCACTTGACCACCGCCCAGGGGATGACAAACAGCAGGGGGGCGCCTGTGGGGGCAGCAGCTGTGGTCCCCAGGCCCAGCCAGCCCACCCCCAGCCCGCACGCACCAGCCCTTACCCCAGCCCACCCCCAGCCCTTACCCCAGCCCTTACCCCAGCCCTTACCCCAGCCCACCCCCAGCCCACCCCCAGCCCTTACCCCAGCCCACCCCCAGCCCTTACCCCAGCCCTTACCCCAGCCCACCCCCAGCCCACCCCCAGCCCTTACCCCAGCCCACCCCAGCCCACCCCCCAGCCCTTACCCCAGCCCGCACACACCCAGCCCTTACCCCCAGGCCCTTACCCCAGCCCACCCCCAGGCCCACCCCCAGCCCTTACCCCAGCCCTTACCCCAGCCCACCCCCAGCCCTTACCCCAGCCGATGGCCAGGTAGAGGCAGAAGTGGCTCCTCTCGGGGAGGGCGGGCAGGCTCAGCAGGCTGTGCAGGTAGAGCCCTTCCGCCAGCAGCCAGCAGTAGTTGGCCACGACGCTGTACTGCATGGACACCGCGGCTACCCGGCAGCCGGCCACAGCCTGGGCAGGCCACAGGTGAGCGGTGGGGACGGCCCGGCCCCCCGCCCCGGGCCCCGCCCCGCCTCCGGGCCTTGCCCCCCCTACCCCCGGCCCCCGCCCTGCCCCGCCCCCGGCCCCCGCCCTGCCCCCCCAGGCCCCCGGGCCCTGTCCCCCGCCCCCCGCCGGTGCTCACCCCGTCACTGAGCCAGACGCTCACGCTGAGGTCGTCGCCCAGCTGCTGGCCGTAGCGGGTCTGCAGCAGCCGGTCAGTGGCCAGCACCGCGCTGGCCTTGAGCACGAAGGAGGCAAACAGGTTGGCGTGGATGTGGTTGCGGGTGCAATGCAGCTGGCTGTGGGACCAGGGGCGGTCAGCGCCGGCCCTGCCTGGCCCTCAAGCCCCGGGCCTGGTGGACGGGGCTCCTACCTGCAGCCCATCAGCACGGCCAGGGCCAGGAGCAGGGCCGCCAGCGACAGCGTGTAGCCCACGGTGTACATCACCTGGAAGCTGCGGTACATCTTGGCCACCTCCTTCTGCAACCACGGCGGGCGTCCCGGTGGGCGCAGCTCCCACGCCCGGCCCGGGGCGCCCGCCACCCGCCCTCCGAGGCCTACCTGGGCCTCCATCTCGTCTGCGTCCATCTGGCACTGGGAGGCGTCGCGCCACGGCTGCCCCCGGGGCCCACGCTCCCACTGCCCATCCAGACCACACCTCTTGAACACCAGGCGATGCTGCACTGGGGGTAGGGGAGGGCTCTGGTCAACCCCGCCCCGCCCCCCACCCCGCCCCCGCCCCGCCCCTCGGGGGTTACCTTTGTGGTACCAAGGCAGGTACCAGGGGCAGCTGATGTTGGCCGTGGTGTTGGGCAGGGTGTCGGGCCAGCAGGAGTACTTGTCGAAGGTCCTGTTGCAGACCAGCTCTGCAGGGGCACGGGGGAGGGAGGGGAGACGGGGCCCTCGGCAGGGCCTGGCCCACACAGCCCACCGCCCACCTCCTCCCGCAAGCCCCAAGCGCTGTCATCACCTCTCCAAGTCTGCAGCCCAGAGCTGCTGTGCCCAGCGGGACCTGGGGCCAGAACCCCCCGCCAGCCCTGGGCCCGGCACGCGCCCCCAGTCAGCCCAGCCCAGCGCAGGCCCCCACCTCATTCAGACAGGGGCTCCGCCTCCTGGGTGGCCCTGCTGCCCCACACTGCTGCCTGGGCCCCGGACACGGTGGCCTGACTGCCCCCAGCGCGCGCCCTGTGAGCTCCGCGGGGCGGCCCCAGGCTCTCAGCAGCAGGTGATGGCTGTGCCCGGCTGTGCGGCCCCGGGCCCCTCTGGTGGGCATGGTGACCTCACCCCTACGGGGGGCAGTGACAAGCCCCCCCGCAGCTGCAGTAAGGGGGGCACTCACGGGTGGGCGGCGGCAGCAGGCTCAGGTTGCGGTGACACTGGTCCCTGTACAGCTTCCACTTCTCAAATAGGAAGTCCATCACCTGGGCGGAGGCGGCCTGCGGCTGCCATCACACGAGGGCAGAGGCCAGCGGCCGTCAGCACGCAGCACGGGGCAGGCCGCCGCCCGGGGCTGGGGGGAGTGGCAGCACCCACCTGGCCAGCGAGCAGCAGCAGCAGCAGCAGCAGCAGCGCCGGCGGCGGGAGAGGGCGGCACGGCCCGGTGGGGGGCATGCCTCTGGGCAGCTGCCCCCCACATCTGGCAGGGGCTGCACGCTGGGGTGAGGGGCCCGGGGGGCCACAGGCTGGAGCTGCCAGAGCAGGGATGGGAGACGGTGCTAGCCGGGTGCTCCTGCTGCCCCCAAGCCACCCCTGAGGCCTGGGTCCTGGCTGCAAGACGAGCGGGGGAGGTCAGTCCAGCCGGCCTGAGACGCTGGGGGTCCGTCCAGGCTCCTGGAGGCAGCGGGGTGTCCCCTGGGTGGAGCTGGCTTTCCCGCCAGCTGCCCACCTGCTGGTCACCCCACACTCTCGGGGGTGTGGGACACTGGCCCTCGCCTCCCCCCCACACCCGTTCTCAGCCCTGGGGCCATGAGTGCTGGTCCCCCTCCCCCACCACAGGCCCCCAGTGCCGGCTCCCGCCACGCCAGCGCCGGGCACACACACGCTCAGGGTGGGCTCGGTCACATGCACCCCCCTTTCCCAGGATGGGGGTGCAGGTGCCCCCAGGAGCCTCATCCCAGGAAGGCTCAGGGCTGGGCTTCTGGCAGGCAGTGTGTTCCCTGGAGATCAGCTGCACACTGCCCGGGCCCAGGCGGTCACCTCTGCCCTCCTGGGCCTGGGCCAGGGCTGGAGCGAGCCGCAGCCCAGGAGCAGGCAGCGGCTCCCTGGAGCCCGTGTGGACGGACAGGCGGACAGACCGACGTCTGGCTGGCTGGAGGCGGTGCTGGGGGGCGGGGAGGGATGGCTGAAGGCAGAGGCCAGGGGCTTCCGGGGGCTGGCTGAGGGGCCGAGCCTGATCCCGCGTGCCGGCTCGCCCACTGGCAGCTCCTGGCTCGCAGGCTGCTCAGGGGTCCCCGGCGCCGCCCCCGGGCTGAGGCCAGGCCTCGTCTCCCCCGGGCCTCACCACACAGCCCCTCTGGCCGCTGCCATCCCGCTTAGGCCACTGAGGAAGGGGTGCGCCGGCCAGGAAGCCCGCGGCCCGGGGGTGGGGGAGTGACGAGGGCTGGCAGGGGCCTGGGAAAGGGGGTGGGCTGAGCTGGCACAGGAGGGGCTCCTGACGCCCACCAGGCTTCCATGGGCCTGGGGACCCGCAGGGGGGGGTGACGCCCACCAGGCTTCCATGGGCCTGGGGACCCGCAGGGGGGGGTGACGCCCACCAGGCTTCCATGGGCCTGGGGACCCGGGGGGGGGGTGACGCCCACCAGGCTTCCATGGGCCTGGGGACCCGGGGGGGGTGACGGGCTGCAGGCCCCTCCTCTGAAGCCCCAAATCTTTCTTTATGGCAGCCCACTGGGGGGTGCAGCCCCGACCTCCTCCCACACAGCTCAGTGTCCCCCACCCTGGTGGCCAGGGCCTCGGGTCCCTCCCCGGAGTACAAGGACAGGCCACGCCCCCACTGAGCCCGCGACAGGGCCGAGAGGCCATCTGCAGAGGGTGGGCGAGACTTCCAGCAGTGACGTCCAGCCGGGCAAGGCTGCGGCTCCGGGCTCGGCGGGGGCTGCTCTGGGGGCCGAGGGTGCACACCGATTCCCCCCGCAGACCCCTGCCTCCCGCTCCGGGGCTGATGACCACTCCCGGGACCCATCTGGCCCCCAGGGCGGCGGAGCGGACTCCCAAGGCAGCTGCAGGTGCAGATAAATATTTGTTGAACGAGTGAGTGGGCTGGGCTCGGGCAGCCAGAGGTGGAGGTGCCCAGCTGCAGAGCTCGCGTCCACCTGGCGACCTCCCAGCAGGAGCCGGCCGGGTGGCCGCACAGCGAGGGCCCCTCTCCGGCCTGGATCTCCCAGGAGGCTGCAGGCCCCTCCTCCACAGCCGGCCACCTGCACGCTCCCAGTGTCCCCTGTGCGTCCTGGGCTGGCACGTGCCCTGCCCCGGGGCCTGGCACAGCACATGACTCCCGGGCGCTCCTGGGCTCTGCGCGTCCCCCAGTGCCCACTGTGCGTGGACGGCCCCTTGGCCCAGGCAGGCACAGGTAAGACGGGGCCCATGCTTGGGGGGGGGCGGGGGGAGATGCCCCGTGGGTGGGAAGGGAGCTGCCCCTAGCTTTGGGGAGCCCTGAGTGCTAGGGTGGGAGGGGACTGTTTTCCTGAAATCAGAGGAAGCACCAGGTCAGGGGTCACGCTGGCTGATCCCGGGTCCTCCCCCGTGGGGGCGGGGAGGCCTGGCAGGCGGCCGCCCTGTGCCCAGCGCAGAAGGACGCAGACCCAGTTCCGGCCGGGCCTCAGCCTCCGGGGATGTGGGCGCCAAGAGGTCAAGGGGTCAGTCGGTTTGGGGCCGCAGAGGGGTGGGGCCGCTGACAGGCCAGGCAGGGCAGGGCAGTGACCCTGGCTGGCCACGGGGCAAAGTCACAAGCGTGGGCCAGGCGTGGACGCCGAGGCCCCTCACCCTATCCCGCCCCTCACCCTATCCCACCCCTCACCCTATCCTGGGGCTGCCGGATATCCCGCCCCTCACCCTATCCACGTCCCGGGGTCCACCCGCCCTGCTCTCCCGCCCAAGCGCAGGGCCCGAGGGCGGCCACCGACCCCGGGACCAGAGGACCCCCAAATCTGCCCGACGGTGGCGCCCCCGTGGCCCTTGGCCGTCTGAGCCCGGAGGGAGAATTCCCAGGACTGGGGACACGGGGAATGAGACAGTGGGGATGACGACGTGGGGCGCCGAGACCCCCGTCAGGGGCCGCCCCGCCGCCCCCGCCCCGCCAGCCCCGGGCCGCCCCTCTGGGGCCCCGCGCTCACCGCGCCGAGCGCTCGCGTTCGGGCTCGGCTCCCCGCGTGCTCCCGGCGCGCTCGCTCGGTCGGCGCCGCTCCGCGCCCTGCGCCCTGCGCCCCGCGCCAGCCGCGCGCAAACTTCCCGGCGGCGGCGCTGGGCGGGGGCGGCGGCGGGGCGGGGGCGGCGGGGACGGCGGGGCGGGGGCAGCGGCGCCGAGGGTCCCCGCCCGCCTCGGGGCTGCGGCTCCGCGAGGGCGCGACCCTGAGGACGCCGGCCCCTAGCTCCCGGCACGCAGAGCGCGTCCCGCGGACCCCTGCCCCAGAGACCTTGGCCGGGCGGAGGGGGCCACGCGGGCTCACAGCCGCGGGTGGGGGCTGTGCTTGGGCGCCCTTTCCCCTCGCTCGCTCGCGTCGCGGTGACCGCTGTCGGGGCCGCGCTCCTGATTCTGCGAGGCTGACCTGCTGCTGAGCCCCCGCGGCAGTGGGCAGGCAAGCCCCCGGGGTGCCCCCTGCACCCTTGCTGTGCCACATCCCCAGGCCTCTGGGCGCCGCCCTGGGCAGACCCGCCGGCCTGCCGCTGCCCCCAGGGGCTGCGGCGGCCTGCACCTTCAGAGTGCGGCCTGGCCCTCTTGCTGTCCACCCTGCTGTATTGAGGGGAGACCCACACCCGAGCGCCCCCAAGCAGCTGCTTCCCTCCCCTCACCCCCCACCCCCCAGCAGCCCCGCCCTGCTCCGGCTTGCACTGTGGATGCTTTGGGGCCTGTGGGTGGTCACACCCTGCTTCTAGAAAGTTCTCTCTGAAGCCCTGGCGTCCAGGAGGAGCAGCCCCCGGCCCCTTCCCTCTCCCTGGAGAGCTGCCCCAGGCTTCCCAGTGTCCCAGCCCCGCAGGCCCCCCGGCCCTGCCCTGCCCCTCCACACCCCCACCCCGGCGCACAGGCCTCCTCCCCCTCCCAATCCCCTCTCGTGCCCGCGGTTCTCTGGAATCCGTGTGGTCACCGCTGTTGCCCCTGCCCTGGCACCACCACCTCCGTCCCCTCCCTGGCCTGTGGGCAGTTGTCCTCAGGGCCCTTCGCCAGGATCCGCGTCCATTTCAGGGGCGGTGGGGACTCAGGCCCTCCCAGGCCTGGTGGTCTCTCGCTTGCATGGCATCCACAGTCCCGCCGGGCTCAGGAGCGGGGGTGCTGGGGCGTGGGCTCCCTCACCTGCCCCACCCGCCTCCCAGCCCCTCTGAGACCCGGGTCCAGGCTGTGGACAGAAGGCAGAGGTCAGGGGGCAAAGGTCGTCAAAGTCCCTTTTCCGCCTGATGTGGCTGCGAACTCCCACTCCCTCCCAGGTGAGTAGGGAATGGCGACCACCTGTGGGGGCCGGGTGGGGCCCGAGACGTGGCATGGGACGGGGCTGGGGGCCGCATGGGGGCCACAGGGGCGGGGCCCCGGTCCCCAGGGCCTTCCCTCCGCTCTGGGTCTCTCTGTCACTTGAGAGACATAAACAGAGCGGGAACTGGGAACCGCAGGGGCTGGGCCTTCCCACATGGCCGCCCGGGGCCTGGGGACAGATGGCGCCTGTCCTCCACCCTGGGCCCCGGGGTCCTCCTGGCTGAGGGTCCCAGGAGATCCACTGGCTCCCGGCTGGCCGCAGGGACGAGCCAGGGACACAGGCGGGCCCTCTGTGCTGGGGACTTGGGCCTGGAGCTGCGGGAGGGCGGCGAGGGGTGGCAAGGAAGCGCCGTTGGAGTGGGGGGCGGGTCCTGGTCTCGTGCCAGGGGTGTGGCAATGCAGGAAGGCGCCCCAGGCGGTGACCCGGGGGCCCCCTGCTCAGGCCAGGGACCCGGCTGAGCCCTGCACTGCCAGGCCATTCCGTCAGGAACCAGGACGGCTGAGCCGACACCCAGGGGCACCGGCGGCGGCTTCCTGACCGGCTCCTCCTCCTGGCCGAGCAGACGGGCACTTGGCGTCCCGTGGTGGGGGTGCCGCTCCCACCCCGCTCACAAGACGGAGGGCGGCAAACGATGCCCTCCCAAAGCCCCAGCGATGGAGTAACCTGGCTGCCTGCTGGTGCCCCACTCCCGGCTGTGGACGAAAGGCGGGGGGGCACCGGAGCCGGGGCTTCCAGAGGGCGGCAGCCTGCACCGGGAAGACGCCGCAGCTGCAGCCCGAGGCCGGCCTGGACGCCTGCACGTGGGCAGAGCTGGCGCAGGAATGGAAACGCAGTCAGAAACGCTGCCCGGCTGGCAGGCGTGGGAGGGGTGAGCTGGGACCTGTCCGTCAGCACAGGGGGCGGCACGGGGGAGCAGCAGGTGCAGCTGCCCAAACCGGTGCTGTGGTGTAGCAGGTAAAGCCACCGCCTGTGGTGCCGATGTCCCATATGGCCACTGGTTCGAGTCCCGGCTGCTCCACTTCCGATCCAGCTCTCTACTGTGGCCTGGGAAGGCAGTGGAGGATGACCCAAGTGCTTGGGCCCCTGCACCCGCGTGGGAGACCCAGAAGAACCTCCTGGCTTTGGCCTGGCCCAGCTCTGGCCGTTGTGACCAATTGGGGGGTGACTCAGCGGATGGAAGACCTTTCTCTCTCTCCTCTCTCTTTGTGGCTCTGCTTTTCAAATAAATAAATCTTTTTTAAAAAATGTTTACTTTTGGCCTGTGCTGCGGCTCACTAGGCTAATCCTCCACCTCGCGGCGCCAGCACACCGGGTTCTAGTCCCGGTCGGGGCGCCGGATTCTGTCCCGGTTGCCCCTCTTCCAGGCCAGCTCTCTGCTGTGGCCCGGGAGTGCAGTGGAGGATGGCCCAGGTGCTTGGGCCCTGCACCCCATGGGAGACCAGGAGAAGCACCTGGCTCCTGGCTTCGGATCAGCGTGGTGCGCCGTCTGCAGCGCGCCGGCCGCGGCAGCCATTGGAGGGTGAACCAATGGCAAAGGAAGACCTTTCTCTCTGTCTCTCTCTCTCACTGTCCACTCTGCCTGTCAAAAAAAAAAAAAAAAGTTTACTTTTGTTATTCTAAGTAAAATTTATAAAACTTCATAAATGAAAGTCACACACAGATCTTCCATCTGCTGGCTCACCCCTTAAATGGCCACAGCAGCTGGGACCAGGCAAGTCAAAGCCGAGGGCCAGGAGCTCCGTCCAGGTCTCCCGTGTGGGTGGCAGGGACCCGGGTCCTTGAGCCGTCACCTGCTGCCCCCCAGGTCTGCACCAGCTGGAAGCGGAGACAGACATAAAGCAGCCGGAGCTGCAGCCAGGCGCCCGGGGAGAAGGGGCCGGGCGTCCCAAGAGGAGTCTCCTTTCCAGAAGATATTTTAATTTATTTAAAAGTCAATGTTGGCCGGCGCCGCGGCTCACTAGGCTAATCCTCCGCCTTGCGGCGCCAGCACACCGGGTTCTAGTCCCGGTCGGGGCGCCGGATTCTGTCCCGGTTGCCCCTCTTCCAGGCCAGCTCTCTGCTGTGGCCAGGGAGTGCAGTGGAGGATGGCCCAGGTGCTTGGGCCCTGCACCCCATGGGAGACCAGGATAAGTACCTGGCTCCTGCTATCGGATCAGCGCGGTGTGCCGGCCGCGGCGGCCATTGGAGGGTGAACCAACGGCAAAGGAAGACCTTTCTCTCTGTCTCTCTCTCTCTCACTGTCCACTCTGTCAAAAAAAAAAAAAAAAAAAGTCAGTGTTAGAGGGAGGGAGAGACAGATGACTGCAGCAGCCAGGGCCGGCCAAAGCCAGAGGCTCCCACCTGGCCTCCCACGCGGTGCAGGGCCCAGACACTGGGCATCTCCTGCTGCTTCCCCGGGCCCTTGGCAGGGGGCTGGACCGGAAGTGGGCAGCCAGGACATGATGGAGCCCCTGTGGGATGCCTTCGTCACGGGTGGTGGCTCTTCCCGCCATGCCAGTGCCGGCCTTTGCCGCACCCCTCCACGACGCTGGGCTCGTTCTGCTGTGAACCCTGTTAAACGGAGGCGGGGCAGGGCCGGCGCTGTCGTGCAGTGGGTTAAAGCCCTGGCCTGAAGCGCCGGCATCCTACATGGGCACCAGTTCTAGTCCTGACTGCCCCTCTTCTGAGCCAGCTCTCTGCACGGCCTGGGAAAGCAGTGGAGGATGGCCCAGTCCTTGGGCCCCTGCACCCGCGTGGGAGACCCGGAAGAAGCTCCTGGCTTCGGATCGGCGCAGCTCCGGCCGTTGCGGCCATCTGGGGAGTGAACCAGCGGATGGAAGACCCCTCTCTCTGTCTCTACCTCTCTCTGTAACTCTTTCAAATAAATAAAATAAAATAAAGTGACAGGGCTGCCCATGGACCCCCCCCCCCCCCACTGTCAGGTCTGGCTCCCACCAAACCACGAGCTGGTGGCAGGTGCTGCAGGCGACCCTCGGTGCCACCAGGGGGCAGTCTGGGGCAGAGAGCGGTGCACTGTCACACGGGAGCAGCTCCTGTGCCCGGCGCAGGCTCGGCCGAAGTCTCCTCCCAGGAACCAGCCACTCTCGGTGTCCCTGGGAACCCCCGTACACCGTGGCTGCAAGGGTGCATGGGCCGGGGGCAGGTCACAGCCCCGCAGGACGGGGTCCACCCGGGAGGGCCTCATCATGGCTCCGGCTCCATCTCTGGGGCTCCGCGATCCGCCCAGCTGCCCCCTCGGCCTTGGCTCCAGCGCCCAGGAGGGAGAGGTCCCCTCCCTCAGCCTGTGCCGGAGTGTTCCGCCAGGCAGCAGGGGAGGCGGGGCATTGTGTCCTGGAGGTCCCGGCACCATGCGTGCAGGCTGGCGCGGGCGACTCGGCACACAGACGCCCCCGCCCTGGAGCCCCACGGCCGTCCCAGGAGGGCCCCCCACGGCCCCTGGGGCTGGCCGCAGTGCGGAGGCCAGCTGCTCCGGGCGCCCAGCCGGGCCTGTGGCTTCCTTGCGGGCAGGACCCGGGCCCGGTGTCTGGCTTGTGTATCTTCCCGCCCGGCTCCGCGGCGCCCTGGCTGTGAGAGGTGGGGCCAGGCCCCCCCAAGCCTCGAGTCCAAGCCGGTGCCCCTGGACAGCCACACCCTCACGCCCGGGGCCAGCCTGGCGCAGGGACCCGAGGCCCCGCCTGCAACACCAGCACCCACGGGAGCACCAGGGGCGTCACGTCCCAGGGGCTCTGCTCCTGCTCGCCCGGGTGACTGCCCGGGGGCCTGGACCCCTGCCGCCCGCGCAGACCGGAATGCTGGTCCCGGATCCCGGCTTCGGCCTGGCTCAGCCCCAAGCAACCACGGAAGCTCTGCCTTTCACACAAATAAAATAAAATATTCTTTACGCCTCAGCCGGAAGCTCTTGCTCTGCGGGGCCGCACCCAGACCCAGGGTGCAGGGGGAGCACC